ACCAAACTTTGCTAAGGTTTCCCACCACTAGCAGTAGATTTAAGGTTCTCAGTGCCATTGAGAGCTCAGCTGTTCAATTACCACTGGCCATTCTTGTTAGCATGATTTACATGTTCAAAGTTTATGTATCAGGCCTCTCTAATCAAAAGTTGACAAAGAGCAGCGTGTTAACGGAGTATTTTAGAGATTAACACTATCATTCAAGTACGCCAGGAGAGAATAGAGGAGGTTGATTTATGAACAAAGTCTCATCAAATATTGAACAACATTGAGTCTGCACTAGGCCAGATAAGGAACTAGAAGGACAGCCTGAAAGTAGACAGGAGCCTAATAATTGGGATGTAAAAGCGAAAGAGGAATACACAAGAGAGAAAGACAGTGAGAGTTGTAGTTTGCATAAAGCAGAGTAATCAGATTGAGTGAGAGAGTGAGAATGTGAGAAAAGGGGGGGGGGGAGAACTAAGCCAAAATCTACAGTAATGTAAGGATACAAGGAGGATGAAAGGAGCTTTAGAGTTTTGTGTAGAAGAAAATGCTCTTTGATGACATATTCTAACTATGGCAACTCCAATCACCCCTCCTGACATGCTCTCCTCTGCCATCATCAGTGGCACAAGTCATTTTGTCTTTGCCTTCCCCGTCATGTCACTCTACTCCTACGCTCTGCCACAACAATAGCTCAGACTTAGTCAGTTTCCATTTGCCAGCTGTTCGGCTCTCCTGTCCCTGTGCTGGCCATCATCTCTCCGACTAGTCTTGACTTTTCTTTCTCTTGGGAACAGGGTGGTGGACGAGAGGAATGAATTTCACCCTCCTGAAAGAACTGTCTTTCTGCATCGTCTCAGACGCTGAAACCTCATTTTTTACTGTCTTACATTGAATCTCCTTTTTTTCTGCCACTGACATTGTTCTTCAATACTAATATTTTCCTCTTATATTTTAAGGTCAGAGGAAGATATGCTCACCCTGCGCCTCCTAAGTACTGGTTGCTTGTAATGTCAGCAAGGAACTGAGGCTTCTTTTACTGTTTTACTTACTTACATACAACATGATTTAATACCAGATTCAATTCCTCATTTTGCTGTGATGGCTGTGATTGCAATGGTCAGCAGAAATTGCAGGCCACAATAGACAGATAACAGACAGAAAGCAATGAATATCTTGTGGCGTGCAAGGCTTATAACTCAAATGATTTTATTCATATCTGTCTAAGCTATTACAACAATGCAGTTTTATTAATATAACTGGACACATCTCAAAGTCCTGTATGCTCTAAGCTGTTAGAAAAAAAAATTGAGCACAGTGCCCTTATCTATGGCTGGAATCTGCTAAAGTCAGTGTGTAAATTTGTGACGTGAAGGATTTTACAGTAGTTTAAGTATTAAAACGTTTTCAGATGTGCTCTTCATAAATCCCTTAATGCTGAAAACTTCCTCTACTGTGTTTTATTGTTGAGCTGCAGTGGAGGGAAGGCCATACTAAAAAGACTAGCATAGGAAGAGACCTACTTGATTCTACTCCTGAAGCTTCATTTTTAGCTTCAGATAAACTTTCGACTGTATTTTTGCACACAATAAAGACTCTTAAGGGCCAGTAAAAACAGAAGGAATTATTGTCCATATGGGCACCTGACAGACTTAAAAAATTTGAACCTATTCTTTAACCTATAAACATACACTATATTATATAATTTTGCCAATGCTTTAATTAATTATAATATAATTCTAGGACAACACAATTCAGTTATGTCATATAGTTGCTTTTCCTGATCTTGTGAGCTCCTAACTCAAAACCTGGATAAAAATTTCAACAGTCATGCAATTTAAGTAGAAAAGAGGGACATCTGAAGATTTCAGATGTTGGTGAGTCTTTCTGCCCATGGGATGCCAATCCAGCAGCTTGAATTCTGATGATCAGAAGCCATGCAGAGACTCAAATAGAGGATTTCGATAGATCTGGGCCACGTGGGTCCACAGACAGTAAAGAAATGAAGTGAAAGTAAGATGAAGAATCAGGAACTGATTAATCATGATAACGAGGACAGAGATGGATCCCCTCCTTGAGCACCTGGAAGGCAAAGATGGATGGATGGATGGATGGAGAGATTTGCAGAGAGAGGTCACCGGTATTTCTTGCCTCTATTTGTCTTTTCTGAGATCTTCTCTGTGCTTCTTGCTTTTTGCAAAGTATAGCAAAATTGCAATAAAGACTTTGGGGCTCATTTGGCTCCTTTAGTCCATGGGGTTCCGTATAAACAAAACATTATGCATGTGTTAGCTAATAAATCAGACTCAGATTTACTGTGAGGCAAATTATGCACAGTGCAAAATAATGTTGGATCTGTGGGATTTTAGTGTCATCCCTATTTTACTGTATTTAAAAGGATAAAACATTATATGAATTATCTTCAGTTAAAACACCTTACTGTCACTGCACACATTATCTATGTGTGCTCTGTAGGGTTTGCTGTGACAGAGTGTTGGCTGTGTGCTGCAGGGGTTTCTCCTCTTCTTTTGGCCAATCTCAAATGAATATTCATTCCCATTCAGTCCCAGCACAATGAGCTATTAAGACCTAATGGACAGTCAGCTCAACTCATACTCATATTTCCCTTTTTTTTGTCAATCTCTCTATCTCTATCTCTTTCTCTCACTCACTCACTCTCTCCCTATGTAGGACAGAGCATGTGTATAGATATATTTTCAGTGTATCGGGTCCCCAGAAAGTAGAATTGGAGATCATCCAAGGAACAGATTGTCCCACTTTTACGTCCTGCAAAAGTGGAGCGGCCAAGTTCTGTCCTCTATATCCCTCTCTTTCACTGGGTCTCCACCCTTCAGCCTCTTTCACACCAGTGACGAGGAACCGTCAAGAACACTCTAGGCCTACACCAGCACAGGATGGATGGGATGAGTCACTAAACTGGTGGGGGGAGTGGGGACACTTTTAGTTTTATATGAATGGTGCATTAATAGCCATTAGGTCTGGGGGTGGTGCTCTGACGTAGGAGTTTAAGGGGGAGGAGCTAAAGTGGGATATAATAAGCGGGTACTCTACTGTATATAGGATCAGCACTCATTAAAGTTAACTTCAAAGGACAATACAGTGGACAAATCCTTTAAGTTTCAATATCTATTCTCTAAAACATGAAAATAGGCATTAAAAATGTGTTGACTTTCCTGTTGCAATGACAAGACTTGGCATTTTCAAGCGGAAATTGAATCTGTGCTTGATAAAATCAGATGAAGTACAAGTGCTTAATAGACAATCAGAGCGCTACTGATTAATTTTACAGGCAGATAACAAAAGCTGCAATAGATCTATCCTCTATGCACCCACAGTTCCTTGTATTACCATCAGCAGGGGAAGAAATTCTCCTATCCAACACAAACAGACGTCTTTCAGTCAATTGCATATCTGATCCTAATCAAACAGAAAATTATAACCCTGCTAATCAGTAATTAAGTGGATGATTGAAATAATTACTCCCATCTCTCCATTTCACAATAAACATCCTGTTCCTTTGATCTGCCTTCTAGCTCCATTCTCCCCATCACTATCTCACCAAGGACGAGCTTTTTTAGGAAAAAGGGGCCACAGCTTACTTCACAGGTTGCACGCCACTCGCCTGATGTTCTTAGCACGTGTGCATGCGCAACCACACATTCCACATTTTGACTCTTTAAGCAGCACTCAAACACATCTTTCCTGGAAAAAACGTCTAGCAGAAAGCAGCATTAAGTGCCAGACCCTGTCAGCCCGAGCTTGGCTGGCGGTCTCGTGTAGATCAAAGTGGGCTATCTTTCCCCTCAGACTGGATATAATTGGGTCAGGTGGAGCATGCGCTGAGGGCCTCGCTTGGGCTAAACTTGGCTGGATGGGCTGGGAGACCTCAATGCAGCACAGATTTAGGAGTGAATATCCCCTGCGCTCTTTTTGAGACTTCCCCCTTTCTGTAAACACTGTTTGATACAGTAGCTAAAGCTTCTTTGTCCGGCTACACAACAGAAATCCTTAAAGCAGAGTTTCTCAGCAATTACTTCCAGGCCCACAACCTAATTTTTAGTTCCCCAAATATTCACAACCAAATGTTATGTGAATGTGCATGTAGCATAGTTTTGGATTATATTTCCAAGCTGTAAATGGATGATATATGAAATAAAACATATGCTAAGTCGACTCTTCTCTTAAAATATAGCAATAATATATTTCTAACCCCCATGTGGGATACCAACTCCACGATTGAAAATAATAACACAAAATAATGTTTCAAACCTTGCAACATTTTATCTGACAATTTAGTCTTAATATAATATTAATGAAGCACACTCAATGTCTTGAATGCATTATTGTTGCAGACTAATTCATGTGGGCCACTATGTATGAGATGCCATGTTCTTTTTATTATGTATTTACTAATACAGTGTTACCGCAATGAATTAAATGAAACCAGATCCCAGGTCCATCTACACGTCTGTAGCAGCACTGAAACCAAACTTAAGTGTCTAAGAAGTAGTTTGTGTGGGTGCACAACACCCAGTATCTATTATTTTATATAACACAAACTCCCCTTCCACTCACTTCACATGATATGACAGAAAGTGCATTAAAATGTCATGAAAACAGAGACTTCAAAGGCAACTGTGCAGCAGGTTGCCTTCAGTTTCACAACAACAAATAAGGAAAGAAGCACAGATGCTGGGTCAAAACATCTATACAATTCCTGGTATCAAGTAACTTTTTTACATACATCTTTTACTTTTTATGCTTGTCCCAGAGCTCCCAACTAGGGAGACCTCAGGCCTCAAATACAATGAAAGCAGGCCACAGACACACAGAGATGAGCGCAGGTTTAAGGCTTTAGGGTGGATTTTATGGCAGATAAACAGCCACAAATAGACTGTCCACTGGTGACACTTTCACTTACCTTGCACGTCCATTCACATAAAGGTAACACTGAGAGACAAAAGTCAACAAGATACTAATAAATGCTGTTAGACATGGCTGACAAAGTGAGGACCATGTCGACGTCTGTCAGACCCCATTAGAGTTCATTCAAATACCATGTAATGGGCTCTACAGACAGGAAGACCCTCAATTCTTATCTTTGCACTCTATACTTAATACTATTAATGTGGTATACTCCAGACAAAGGGTTTTCTAAAAAAACATGTATCCTTAACCAGTAACAATTATAACCTGTGGGTGAAGAGAGAGAGTGTTAAGAAACCTTCATACACATAAAAAGTATTTTGTATCAAATGGGACCAAAAATGCAATGAAGGTATTTTTGCCTCATTTCCTGTCCGCACAGATTCTAGTACATGAAGGCACAGTATTAGAGAGAAAAAGGAATCAGGATTTTTCATTATTCCAAAATCCTTATAGCTGCACAATAACCCAGAAGAGCCT